GAGGAGAGAGGAAACCTTCACTGTGCTTGATAATTTTTTTCGGCGGTCTTGGTCCCTCTCTTTCTTTGTCAAGAAAGGATAGTGAAGCTTTCTCTCTTGATCGTCTTATTTCTTTCTTTCTCCTTGTCTTTTCTTCCCTCGCTGTCGTTTTTCCTCTCTCTCTACGAACAGTCATTGAAAGGGAGAAAGGAGACGGCGGGGGAGAAGGAGGCAGAGTCGGAAGCAGGGCAGAACTTCGAAAGAGAATAAGACCTGCATGGATAAGTGAGCAAGAGAGGGGAAGTCAGAATGAGTGATAGGTCTTATGATCAAGAATAGACGGCACTTGTTGAGGTGAATACTTGATAAGCTCTGAAAGAGCAGGCGACTGATACGCTCTTGGTGTTGCAGTTGCAGGCAGTAGGATCAGAGTGTATAGACAGAAAGCCTCAGGTGTACAACACAAGCTGAGCTGCTCTGTAATCCGATCGTTGTGGTGTAAACCGAACCACAAACAGAGGAAGATCCAAGACAGAGAGACGTGAAACGAGGGAGGGAGAGAGTGGTGGAGGACAGAGGATATCTGAAGCCGGCTGATGCAAGCTCCTGTACCAGGTTTCTCCCTGGGCTGAGAAAGGGACATGAGTTGCTTCCCCTGCTTCTCGTCCAAAGTGAAACCCGAGGAGGGTCATGATGACTCGCTACTCAAGCAGAGGTTGGAAGAAGCGACAAGAAGGATCTCAGAGCTCGAGGCCGAGCTGAGAAAGCAGACTGTCAAAGATCCCCCAGCTCCTCAAGGAGTCCCGTCAAGCATCTCCAGCCCTACGACTCAGCCGTCAAACAAGACAGACATCGAGATCAAATCTCAAATCAGCCATCCCACGGCTGATCCACCAGCTAGTGCCCAGCAAACGACCAGCTGGACTATCCCCGACGACATCAGCTCTGACCTCAAGAAGCTCTTTCAGACCCCTCGAGACTCCGAGGATTACAAAACGATTCTCAACAACCTCCGCATGGCTCTCGGCGTCGACGCGTCAGCCCTCAGCCCTGACAAGCTCTCGTACGACGACTACGAGGTCAGAGTCGCAAGAGAGTGGGAGCTCGAGCGCAAGGCCAGCAGCCTCGGCGACCTCAACATCCTCCGAGTCATGGCGGAGTGCATCCCCGGCGGGAGCGCGGCGAGTCCTCTTGCGGGGCTACAGGGGATGACGGAGAGCGCTCTATCGGCTTTATGGCAGACGGCGATAGCAAGGAGGCTCGAGGAGGCGCTGAGGAGGCCGGCGGAGGCAGGAGGGCGGGCGGGAGGAGACGGTCCGACGTCGCACAACAGCAAGTTTGCGGAGGTACGCGAGGCCGTGTACGGGAAGATCGAGGAGTACTACGGGGGGCTGATGGAGCGGATCGGGCTACCTCAGACGGAGCTGATGAAGGCGATAGAGGAGGAGCACTGCAAGGGCAAGGACGCGGAGGAAGCGTTCACGACGAGCAACTACAACATCACGACGACTGCCAAGGAGGAGTGGCTCAACGTCACAGACCCGGAGAGGAGGCAGAGGCTGTCGGACGGGACGCGGGTGATCCGAGGGATGGAGGAGCTGAAGGGGCTGGACACGGCGATCAAGGCGGGGCTACAGGAGGCGGAGCTGATCGCGCTGCAGCTCTACACAGGTAAGGGAGAGAGATAGCGAGAGAGGGAGATGGAGCATGGGGGAGAAGAGAGGAGCAAGAGAGCGTGAGAAGGCTGACAAGAGGCTTGCTATGACAGGGCCGATGTACTTCAAGTACAACTCTGTTCTTCGAGCTCCCAACGAGCTCCTCCGAGACTCCAACAAGGTCCCCAACAAGTACACGACGACCATCCACTGCATCGTCAGCGGGGTCGTGAAGCTGTCTCGTCACACGCCTCTGCCGGAGGGGCTGCGGGTGTGGAGGGGGCTGAAGGGGATGAGGCTGCCGGAGAGCTTCCTCAACGAGGACAAGCTCGGGGTGTCCGGAGGAGTCGAGTACGGGCTGCTGAGCACGACGACAGACGTCAGGACGGCGATGCAGTACGCCGGGGAGGAGGGAGAGTCGATCGTGTTCGAGATCAGCTGCGGGGCGATCGACCGGGGGGCGAGCTTGACGTTTGTGTCTCAGTATCCGGGGGAGGGGGAGATGCTGTATCCGCCGCTGTCGTACCTGGAGGTGGTGAAGACGCCGCGGTACAGGGAGGTAGAGGGGAGGCGGGTGAAGGTGCTGGAGCTGAAGATCAACGCGAACACGATGAGCTTGACGATCGAGGACTTTGTGGGGAAGA